ATCTGTCTATCTATCTATCTATCTATCTATCTATCTATCTATCCGTCTATGTATCTATGTATCTATTTATTTGGGAAAACATTAAATAGACAATAACCTGAAACATAGTCCTAGACTAAGTCATGGACTCATGTCTGGGTGGATGAGGACAGAGTGAGTCACAGCAGATATTATACTTTTCAAATGTCTTCAATGGAATAAAACAAACTCGTTCACATTATAAAATGTTCACAGTTTGAGTTTTCTGGTGTTTATTTAGCAGCTGATCAAATGGAAAGTGAAGGAGAAACTAGCCATGTTTGCTGGGTTGGTGCTGTTACATAAACTATATGCAAGGTTTATTACATAGTTTATTACATAGTTTATTACATAGTTTGTTACATAGTTTATTACATGGCTGCTTTAAGCTGCTGTCCTCAAAGCTGGTTTATAATTTGCTGTCAGACAGAAAGTCTGACTTTATGAATTACCGCTGAAACGATTAATGGATCTACAGAACATTTATAATCAATGAATCACTTAAAAAGAATAGTCCAATTACTTTTGTCTTCTAGGTGTTTAAATCCTTTTTAAGCTCAAGACGAGTCTCACAAGATGAATATATTCCAATAAAAACATTTTCATAAACTTCATCCGCACCCGTGATTATAAATACCTGGACACACACACACACTTCATACACACACCCACACATATATATTCAAAATATTTAAATAAGGATTCATCAAGGAAATTATCAATAATTACATAATTGGTTGCTACTTGGCGTATCTCGTCAGTTTGAATGGATTTATTATTTAAATAAAGGAAGTAAAATGTCTCAGTTTCTACTATTTGTGTTAAAATGTCTTATTTCCCCCCCAATCTGACTAAATGTCAATTCAGCATAAAACCACTGAATACTTGTGGTGTTTTGGGTTCAAAAATGTAAAAAATGTGAAGAAACCTGAATACATCATCTTGTAAAAAGCACGTTGGTGAGATGCGTTCCAGTGAGTTTGTTAATCTGTGTATCTGTCGATGTAGGTCGATGTTGGGCCGTGGTGTGAAGCGGAAGTGGAGCTGCCTGGAGGAGCTGGAGGCCGAGACCCTCCGTGCTGCAGAGAAGGAGCAGAATGTGGAGGGCGAGGCCGGGTTCCTCGCGGCTCCGTCCAAGTCCGACCTGAGCCACCTGCAGCAGCGTCAGCTGGTGCTCGGCCTCTGCATGGAGAAGCTCCGGGGCTACCAGGCCGGCATGGAGCTCAGCCTGCGTCGCTCCGTGCTGCTCATCAACACGCTGCGGCAGATCCAGGAGGACATGCAGAGCGACGGGGCGTCGGAGGCGCTGCTCCTCCACGGCGTCCACCGCGAGTCCTGCCTCCTCGGGGACGAGTTCGGAGAGGACGTGCCGCTTACGTGTCTCAGGTGTGCGGAGGACGACGTGGACAACTTGTCTCCGTCTCCTCCGCTGTCTCCAGAATTCTCTTCTCAGGAGGCCGACGGCTTGTCCGTCCAGCAGAAATCACTACCCGCTGCTGCGGCAATCAACACTTTTAGCGACGCCGTAAACGCTATGGGCTACCTGGGCGACCTCGCCCTGGACATGGACATCTTCGAGGACATTGACACGTCGATGTACGAGACTTCGGATCTGCCCTCCAGCTGGGCGGCGGGCTCCCTGTGGCCCGTCAGTGTGTCGCTTTGGGCCGACGAGGACGTGAAAACGCGTTCCCCCGGCCACGGCGGAGCCGGGAGTCTCCAGTCGTGTCGGATGGACCTGAACGAGCTGGACCACATCATGGAGATCCTGGTGAAGACCTGATCCTGAAGCACGAACTCCTGAACATCTACTGCACACAAACAGTCTGATCACAGCTGAGGGGGCTGACCGTTGATCTTTAAGGCTCGGTTGAAAATTCGATTTAATTCTTGACACATAACTAATTTATAAGAAACCAACATCATCATCGCTATAGAGGAGGAATCTGGTTTCAGATATCTCATGAGATGAGTCCACTACTTAAGTGCTTTTATACTGTTTCTGGTTGTTATCACTCAGGTGGAGGCACACACAGATATTTTTCTACAAGTCTCAGTGGATTTAAACAGCAGGAAACTTCAGCTATCGAGTATTGTTATTCAAGAAATTCATTTTTTTTAACAGACAGAGAGACCAATTTCTGCAGCTACAGTTGCAAGAAATAGATTCGACGGCTCTGCAGTGTTTTGAGTAGTGAGTCAGTAATCTGTAGTAAAAAGCAGATGAGACATGTCTAGAGTGAGTCGGTGCACCAAAAGTATATCGCAACACTTGTGAGGTCACCGTGCAACAGCGCCTAAATACAAATGTACCCGTAAATTTCAAATCTCAGGATGAAGAAACCTGAGCGGCCATGGCTTTGTGCGTCTCTCACGCTGTCCGATCAGACTTTGGTTGATTATCAATTGAAATCCCTTGAATCACTTAAGAGGGAGTGAGCGTCGGCCAACCAGGAGGGCAAAGGCCGCGGTTTCCTTTCAGTATCGGGACTGAATGGTTGTTGTTAGACAGCAGCCGAAGCTCTTTGTGAACGTGTGTCTGTGTATTTATTAAAGGAGAATGTGAACCACTGAATCTGGTTCAGCCAAAGAAGTACGTTTCCAATCCCTGGAGATGAATTCCACGTTTATGTTTGTATCACAAGAAACGGATGACATCTTGCTGTTGAGAGAGGGTCAAATATTATTTATGAATGAAAAGTCAGCCACAAACTGCAGCAGATGTTGTTTCTATGTAGAGTCTTTTGTTTGGGTGTGAGTGTAACTTATAATTCAGATTCTTTATGGTCTTCTGCTTTGGGACAAACTACCAGAGTAACCATCACACCTTCCACCAGAAGTTCATCCTTCTCGGCAGCTTGTATTTAAACCCGTCATGATCTACGTATGAAACATGTATTTTAAATAATGTAATCTCGGTCCAGTTCTGACGGAGGAGCTGATCGCCTCCAGTCAACAACCAGGACTTTTGCCATGTCTCACAAGTGTAAAATGACGACAGAAGCCTGTGTATTTGTGACGATGGTATGGATTTCTACTGCAATGTTTTTCTATGTGTTTCTACCTGGACCTGAAGCAGATGTTGGACCTTCATAATCTGTGGTTTGCTCTTGTTCTACCTCCTGATGTCCGTTTGTTGTCGGTGAACCCGGACACTCCCGTTTCTCATCTTTCTTTTCACCGTCCTCGTCTCTGTCTCTGTCTCTGTCTCTGTCTCACCATGTGCCTTACTAATGGACCTACTCCTTCATTCGTGTAGAGGTTTTATGTGGTTGTAAAGCATCGAAAGCCAGAAGCCTCCATCGTTTCTTCCCTCTTCTTGGCCTTTCTCTGATTTCCCCCTGTGCTCGGTGAACACTAGTGCATATGAGCTTAACGTATCCTGACAGGACGACAGTAAACTAGCTGAGGAAGGAGGTGGCAGCGAGGAGGGAAGAAGAAGAGGAAGAGGAGGAGGGAGGAAGCAGCTTGCGTCACTAGTTCAGTGGGAGGGGCTTAGAGCTTGTTTTGCACAGACTCAGACCACCGACCAATCAGGAGAGAGATGTGCGAGGAGTAAACTGCTCCTCTAACAACTTGTTTTTGCTCTGCACAGAAATACAGTGTTCAGAAATAAAACCACTTCTCTGTTGTTGTTTTTATTATTTTATTTTGTATTTATAATCTATCAGAGAGGACTCTACAGTGTTATTTATACCGGAGAGTGTCAGTCGGGTCTGTAAAGCATAAACTACATGTAACTGAAGGATGGGAGATGATGAACAATAATGTATTCTATTTTTTGTGGAAGATTTTATAGATTTTATTCAATAATACAGTAAAACAAAAATACACAAACTGCCTCGTGTGCGTCTTTATTCTTTACACCTCATTACATAACAGACCTGTTTGTGTGTTTAAAGACACGAACATCACGTCCAGATTACAATAAACAGACAAATTATTACTCATAATGTCTGCCACCCTCTCATAAACCGTGCCTTACTGCACACCTCCCATGCATACACAATGAGGTGTTAGTCACTACACTACTGACTGCATGTGCTCCTTACAGGCAGTACACAGCCTGGGAAGCTTAGCTGAGGGCAAAATCTCCCTTTCATATATTTTTTCCATAGGAGTCAAAAGGAAGCCAAGGCTGCCCTCTGGTGGCTGTGTTACTGAAGAACCGATGTGAGCTGAAGGTAAGCATGACGGTGCAGATTTAAAATGTATATTGAGTGGTGTGAGTTGATGCTGTGGTCCGGTGTTTTTGCTGCTTCATCACAAACAAAGATTCTTGCACAAAGCCAGCGTTTTGATTAAAACATGTAAAGTATTTGTGTTTAACGCTCACCTCTCTGCTGCAGACACATCAGCAGTAACACATCAGTACAGGTATTCAAACCCTGTACTTTATGATGGAAAAATACTGCATTACAGAAAAGGACCTATTATCAAATTTAGTTGAGTATTAAAAGTAGTCATTACATTATTGACGGTATTTAGGAGGTGCATCATGTTCTGTTTGTCTTAGTTTCATAGAAGCCCTTCTAGAGACTTGTGTTATAAACTAGCGTTCGCTATAAACACTGTGACACTTGCATTGGATATCTGTTTTAAGAGACAGACAGACAGACAGACAGAGAGAGAGACAGACAGACAGA